TTTTTTCCCCCCAACCCTTTTTTTAATTTTTCCCAAACCCCCCCTTTTCCCCAAAAAAATTTTTTTTCCCCCCCACTTCAAACCCACTTTTTTTTCCCCCCCCCCTTTTTCCCCCCCCCCCCTTTTTTCCCCCGCCAAACCCCCTTTTTTCCCCAAAAAATTTTTTTTCCCCCCCTTTTTTCCCCCCCCTTTAATTTGATAAATTTTCCCCCCCTTTTTTTTTTTTTCCTTTTCCCCAACCCCCCCCTTTTTTTTTTTTTTAAAACCCCCAAAAAAAACCCCCCCCTTAAACCCCTTAAACCCCCCAAAAAAACCCCCCCCAAAAAAACCCCAAAAAACCCCCCCCCTTTTTTTCTTTTTTAAATTTTTTTAAAACCCCCCCCAAAAATTTTTTCCCCCAAAAAAATTTTTAAAAAAAAAAACCCCCTTTTTTTTTAAAAAAAAAATTTTTTTCCCCCCCCCCCCCAAATTTTTTCCCCAAAAAAAAAACCCCAAAAAAACCCCCCCCCAACCCAAAATTCCCCTTTCCCCCAAAACCCCCCCCCTTTTTTTTTTTAAAAAAAACCCCAAAAAAAATTTGCCTTTTCCAAAAAATTTTTTTTAATTAAAAAACCCCCCCCCCCCTTTTTTAAAAATTTTTTTTTTTCCCCCCCCCTTTTTCCCCTTTCCCCCCCCCCAAAAAAACCCACCCCCCCGGGGGGGGTTTTTTTTTTTTTTTTTTTTTTAAAAAATTTAAAAAAAGGGTTTTTTCCCCCGGGAAAAAACCTCTCATAAGTATTTTTTTCTCTTTATCACCCCCTTTATTTAATTATTCCACCAATCACTTCCTCTTTCCTCCTGTAACCATCCTCCTATAACCACAAACTTCTGCCCCACATTCTAAAAACTGCATTTTTAAAACTATTCCAACCCTCTTCAACCCTCCCCCCCCCCCCACTACTCATACCTGCACCAACCCACCTTTCCCTGCCAATATTTTGCTTATATTTCACCCGAACTTCCTCCCCCCTTTTAGTTTATACACTTTCACCTCCCTCTTACTTTGTTGCCATTTTCCTTTTATCCCATCTACCTCTTAACTCTAACTGTACTACAACTAGATAATGATCCGATTATCAGTTGCCCCTCTATAAACATGTACACCCTGGGCCTACCCATCAACCTTTTATCCACCAATACATAATCAAACAAACTACTTTAAATTACGTCTACATCATACCTTGTATATTTATTTATCCTCTTTTTCATAAAATATGTATTACTTATTACCAAACCTCTTTCTACACATAGCTCAATTAAAGGCTCCCCATTTTCATTTACCCCTGGCACCCCAAATTTACCTACTACTCCCTCCACAACATTTTTTCCCACTTTAGCATTAAAATCCCCAACCACAAGTATGTACTCTCACACTTGGTTCAAAACTCCCCATGCAATTACTCAGCATTTCCCAAAATCTCTCTCTCTCCTCTATATAGGTCTCCCTCAACATTCGCGTTTTCAACTTTAGCGGGATTCACACATTCGTGAATTCCCAACTGCCAAATTCCCAGCCGCCAAATCATATTTAAGTTTCTCACCACCTGCGAGTCCCTACTACCCTCCCTCCGACCCCTGCAACTGGCAGCCAGCCCTCCCACCAGTGTGGCAAGTGTTTTGTTTGTTCATTATTTGCTATTAAACTACAGTATAAATAATGTAAACCCATTCATGACTGCATATTGGAATGGCTATTTGGACAGGTATTGGACGGTGACATCATGTGTTTACTCTTGAACACAGCAAAGAATCAAACATTTCTGCTACTGCTAATAACAATAGTAGTAGTAATAATAATAGTAATAATAATAATAAATGCGATAGAATTGAAGAAGGAAATTGTACAAAAATGCGAGGGAGTGGTTGACACATCGTCAGTGTGGCTTTGTTTATGCTGGAGTGAGCATTAGTCTCTGTGCTCTTCCAAACATTTCACAATAATTCATTGTGTTTGGTGCTTGTAGATTGAGTGCGATTGGAGTGGTAGAGGCAGTGGTAGAGGCAGTGGTAGAGGCAGTGGTAGAGGCAGTGGTAGAGGCAGTGGTAGAGGCAGTGGTAGAGGCAGTGGGCGAGGCAGTGGGCGAGGCAGCGGGCGAGGCAGCGGGCGAGGCAGCGGGCGAGGCAGCGGGCGAGGCAGCGGGCGAGGCAGCGGGCGAGGCAGCGGGCGAGGCAGTGGTATTTAATAACATACATGTTAATAATAATAAATGTTAATAATATGTATTATTATTATTCATAACATGTTATTAAATAGCACTGCCTCAACTGCTGCCTCCACCATTGCCTCAACCACTGCCTCAACCCCTGCCTAAACCGCTGCCTCTACCAGCGCCTCAACCGCTGCCTCACCCACTGCCTCACCCACTGCCTCAGCCGCTTCCTCAACCACTGCAGTTGCACTCAATCTACAAGCACCAAACACACTGAATTATTGTGAAATGTTTGGAAGAGCATGGAGACTAATGCTCACTCCAGCATAAACAAAGCCACACTGATGTGTTAACCACTCCCTCGTATTTTTGTATAATTTCCTAAAATTCTATCGCATTTTTTATTATTATTATTATTATTACTATTGTTGTTATTAGCAGTAGGAGAAATGTTTGATTCTTTGAGGTGTTCAAGAGTAAACACATGATGTCACCGTCCAATACCTGTCCAAATAGCCATTCCAATATGCAGTCATGAATGTGTTTATATTATTTATACTGTAGTTTAATAGCAAATAATGAACAAACAAAACAGTCGCCACACTGAGTGGTGGGAGGGCTGGCTGCCAGTTGCAGGGTTGGAGGGAGGGTAGTAGGGACTCGCAGTGGTTGAGGCAGTGGTTGAGGCAGTGGTGGAGGCAGTGGTGGAGGCAGTGGTATTTAATAACATACACGTTACCATAACATGTATGTATTTAGTACAATTTATGACATTTTCATGTATTTTATGATTGTTCATGGTTCGACAAGTTAAGGAAGCAGTATTGTATTATATTTCCCTACAATATTTTGGGGCACCAAACATTAGCGATTTTTCAACATTCGCGAGGCTCTTGATCCCCTAACCCTCGTGAATGTTGAGGGAGACCTGTACTTCTCTCTTCTCCAGGTGCATAAATGCTTACTATAACCCACTTCTCACATCCAACCTTTATTTTACTCCACATAATCCTTGAATTAATACATTTACATCCTCCTTTTCCTGCCATAGCTTAACCTTCAATATTATTGCTACTCCTTCTTTAGCTCTAACTCTATTAGAAACCCCTGACCTAATCCATTTATTCCTCTCCACTTCAGCTTTGTTTCACTTAAAGACAGGATATCCAGCTTCTTCTCATTCATAACATCCACAATCATCTTTCTTATCATTCGCACAACATCCACGCACATTCAAACTTTCCACTTTGACAATTTTCTTCTTATTCTTTTTAGTAATTTTTACAGGAAAAGAGGTTACTAGCCCATTGTTCCCAGCATTTTAGTTGACTTTTACAACACACATGGCTTACGGAGGAAAGATTCTCGTTCCACTTCCCATGGATATAAAAGGAAAAGTAATAAGACCAAGAACTAAGAAAAAGTCAAAGAAAACTCAGGTGAGTGTGTATAAATAAACGTGTACATGTATGTTTAGTGTGACCTAAGTGTAAGTAGAAGTAGCAAGACGTACCTGTAATCTTGCATATTTATGAGACAGACAAAAGACAAGAGCAATCCTACTATCATGTAAAACAATTACAGGCTTTCGTTTTACACTCTCTTGGCAGAACAGTAGTACCTCCCTGGGTGGTTGCTGTCTACCAACCTACTACATACTTTTTTTTTTTTCTTTTTCTTTTTTAACAAGTCGGCTGTCTCCCACCGAGGCAGGGTGAACCAAAAAAGAAAGAAAATCCCCAAAAATAAAATACTTTTACCATCATTCAACACTTTCACCACACTCACACATTATCACTGTTTTAGCAGAGGTGCTCAGAATACAACAGTTTAGAAGTATATACGTATAAAGATACACAACATATCCCTCCAAACTGCCAATATCCCAAAACCCTCCTTTAAAGTGCAGACATTGTACTTCCCATTTCCAGGACTCAAGTCCGACTATATGAAAATAACCGGTTTCCCTGAATCCCTTCACTAAATATTACCCTGCTCACACTCCAACAGATCGTCAGGTCCCAAGTACCATTCGTCTCCATTCACTCCTATCTAACACGCTCATGCACGCTTGCTGGAAGTCCAAGCCCCTCGCCCACAAAACCTCCTTTACCCCCTCTCTCCAACCCTTTCGAGGACGACCCCTACCCCGCCTTCTTTCCCCTACAGATTTATATGCTTTCCATGTCATTCTACTTTGATCCTTTCTCTCTAAATGACCAAACCACCACAACAACCCCTCTTCTGCCCTCTGACTAATGCTTTTATTAACTCCACACCTTTTCCTAGTTTCCACACTCCGAATTTTCTGCATAATATTTACACCACACATTGCCCTTAGACAGGACATCTCCAATGCCTCCAACCGTCTCCTCGCTGCTGCATTTACCACCCAAGCTTCACATCCATATAAGAGTGTTGGTACTACTATACTTTCATACATTCCCTTCTTTGCCTCCATAGATAATGTTTTTTGACTCCACATATACCCCAATGCACCACTCACCTTTTTTCCCTCGTCAATTCTATGATTAACCTCATCCTTCATAAATCCATCCGCCGACACGTCAACTCCCAAGTATCTGAAAACATTCACTTCTTCCATACTCCTCCTCCCCAATTTGATAACCAATTTTTCTTTATCTAAATCATTTGATACCCTCATCACCTATTATTATTATTATTATTATTATTATTATTATTATTATTATTATATTATTATTATTGCTGAGAAGAAAAAGAGAATGACTTCCATGGAATTAAAGCATGAAATCATAGATAAACAAGCGAGGTGTCCAGGTTTTGGGTTGAGGGGGGAAGAGGGAGGGGGTAGCTGGCTCATAACTCAGAGCAAAAATTCGACCCAGGGACGGCTCGTATCTCAAAAAACTCGTAAGTTGGGACACTCGTAAGTCAAGGTTCCACTGTACTTATTAAAAATAGATAAGTGTGAAGAGATTATTACTGCTCTACATATACACATGTTAGCAATACAGTGGTACCCCGAGTTTTGACCTTTCTTCGTTCCAGAAGGCTGTTCAAGTGCCGTTACCAAATGAATTTCCATTTCAGACCCCCAAAATACACTTACAAAAGTACTGGCAATAACACACTTACATAATTGGTTGAGTTGGGCACAGTTTGAAACTCAGGGTACCACTGTAATTGATGATTAGAAAACTAAATTAGAGATAATTAAGGAAGCTTTGCAAAAGATGGAAATAATTTCAAGTACATATGTACTAAATTCTAAATAAGAATAAAAATACTTTACACAAAATGGCTTATATGCATCAGTTTCTGCTAGTAATGTCCCCATGGCAATGAGGTGTTCATACACTGAATCCCAGGGTACATAGTCTGTCTCAGACACCAGACCACGACTGAAGTTGAGTGCAACAGAATAATGCAACAAGTCAGCATTAGCAAGGGCGAAGACATCACTGTAAAGGCTCGCTCGATCTGCAGTGCCTACAAGCTGAAAGTAGTAAAGCACAGAAATAAAATCATAAATATTTGACTATTATCATTATTAAAATATTCTTTGTTTTTAACAAGTATATGCCCAAAGAATAAAGAATTTATAAGTAAAGAACCTTCTATTATGAAGTAAGAATTTGGCTATAGTATTATGAAAATTAACCGTAAAGAATGCTGTGCCAAGCACTGAACTAGCAACTCTGAATATGCAAGATCACTCTGTGGCATAGTTTATAAGGTGGTGGACTTGAAAGTGTTGGGCTATTAATCTAATTCCCAGTACTGCTTACAAAAATATTTTTATCTTAAAAATCCAACCTAAAAAAAAAAGATATAATTTCAGTTTTTCAAAAGTAATGGAACTTGAAATGGAAAAACATCCAAACAAAATGTCTGTTGATCTATACAGTAGGGCCCCACTTATTCGGCAGGTTAAGTTCCAGGTTACTGCCGGAAAGCAGACGTCGCTGGAAAGCAGAACTCCATTTATAAATGCATATAAATGCCAGATAACAAGTTTACACTAACATATATTAAGTTAACAAGAGAACTAGGCATTAAAAAGTAAAATACACACACAGTACCCTCATTATTTACCTCAAAATATTTGTAGTCTTAATGAAGGGCAAAAGGTGAGTAGTATTTACTCTAAGAAGTCAGGTGTGGTAGCCCTCCTGGCCACCCCACCCACACATACTATACAACGATTACTTACCTTAAAATATTTGTAGTCTTAATGTAGGGTGAGAGGCGAGTTTTATTTGTATGAAGTCAAGTTGGGAAGTATGGGTAGCCAGGAAGGGCAGCCCTCACCACCCCACCCCACCCACACATAATATAAACAAACCAGATGAAAGCGTCTGGTTGTCGTCACTTTACATTGTGTACAAGTTGTCTCCACGTTGATACAGTAGAATAAATAAAGAGAAACACTCCCGTTCTCATGTAATACCATTTTCAGAAGAAATGACACCCTGAGTGAAGGCATATGAAAGGAATAATTTTCTAGTTACCCCCAGTAATATTATAGTGACATTTTTTTTGATGTTGGACTACAAGTTACCTGGCTACCACAAGTTACCTGGCTACCACAAGTTGCCTGGCTACCACAAGTTGCCTGGCTACCACAAGTTGCCTGGCAACCACAAGATGCCTGGCTACCACAAGTCCTACAAGTCACCTGGCTACCACATCTCATATTTATGTTAATTTATTCTACTGTGGGGTGTATTTAGTTGGATTAAGCAAAATGTCTATGTTAACGCTTTTTACGATATTTAATGCTCCTCAGTGATTATTGTGTTATTATCATCATTATTAATATGGCATCTTCAAGACTAATAAGACACTCTTCGTGATTTTAACCCTTTCAGGGTTTCTGACGTACTAGTACGGCTTACGCACCAGGGTTATTGACGTACTAGTACGCCTAAATTCTAGCACCCTCAAATCTAGCAAGAGAAAGCTGGTAGGCCTACATATGAAAGAATGGGTCTGTGATCAGTGTGCACAGTATAAAAAAAATCCTAGAGCACACGGTGCATAATGAGAAAAAAAAAACTGTGTTTTTGGTTTGAAAGAGCGACTTTGCACTGTATTTTCATATGCTATTTATGGTTGTATTCTAGTTTTCCTGGTCTTATTTTATAGAATGGAAGACATTACAGAAATTGAGATGATTTTGATTGGTTTCACAATGAAAAGTACCTTGAAATTGAGCTCAAAGTAGCAGAAATATTAGATTTTTACCCAAGTTCAAAAGTAAACAAATCATGCCACACATCCAATACACGTCAACTGGTGAGTCTAATATTCTTTCACAAGTGCACTGATATTATTTATACCATTTCTACACTAATACAGTAGTCTGCATAACAGTAAATCTTCTATTTTTTGTGAGAATAAAAATTCGAAGTGGAAAGCAAATGAAATGTAAGAGGGGCCTGGGCACATGACTAATGAACAGAGGAAATGTTATTTTAGTGCCAGGAATGTCTTTCTTGTTTATTCTGGACCCTATTTGGAATTTGGCATCTTTTGAAATTTGTGTGAAATTGGCAAAATTGCTAAATTCTGACCACTTTATTGGATAGTTGAAATTGGTAAATGGGTCTTTTCTTGTACTCATTCGATAGAAAAAATGGAGTTCTAGCAAAATAGTTATGATTTTTGTCGACTAGTATACTGGAATTGGCCAAAAATAGGGCTCAAAGTGGGCAAAATCGCCAATGCATAAACATTGTCGAGACCGCTAGCTTCGCGAGAGCATAATTCCGTAAGTTTTCCACCAAATTTCATAATTTTGGTGTCATTATGATCGGGAAAAGATTCTATATCTTTTCATAAAAAATTTGTTTTTTTCCGAAAAATTTTTGACCCTGAGAACAAGTTTCGGAGAGGGCCTCTCGACCCTGAAAGGGTTAATGTGTACCTGCATGCCAGCACAGTGTGTAAGTTTACTTAGGTACAGGTACACATACGTTTATTTATCAGTTATAATAATAATGTAGGTATATAGTCTGCCTGGGCTACATACCTACACCTACCTACATAGCTACACAATATTTAATGTGGCCCAGGGCCATATTATTACCATCAACATACCTTGCTCACCGAGTTTAATCGTTTCTATCAACTACCTTTAGATGCCATCATAAATGGAGAAGTAATGAATATTTCATGCCGAGAATTGTAAACAAAAGCGTTATGTATTAAGGGGAGTGACGTAATGTTTTCCCTCCGCCCAACTACCACACCTCCTTAGTATATAAACATAAAATGTTTATATGTTATGTAACATGTTTCTTATATAATTTTGAAGAAAATATAATAGATGGATTAATGAAAATGTCTACATTAACGTAAAATAAGACATTTAATGTGCCCAAGAGTAATTATTATTAGTATTACGTAATGTTTTCCCTCCACCCGGCAACCAGACCTCCATAGCCTATAAACAGCATGTTTATATGCTATGTAACATGTTTCTTCTACAATTTTTAAGAAAATACCATAGATGGATTAACAAAAATGTCTATATTGATGTAAAATTAGACATTTAAGTTCTGTGTTTTTTGCAGTCTTGAACTTTTCATTGAGATGCATGTCACTTCTAAATGGCCATTACATCATGTCATAATTCTGTTGAGAACAATGATTTAATACGAAAGCATGACATTAAAAAAGTAAGGGTAGTGTACTCAATGATTTGTAGTTATGACTTCACCAAATCTGATTCTAAGTATAAATTGAAGTCATAAACACAGATGGATGAAAAATAAAAAGCCATTTGCATAGAAAAAAATGATACATAGATAAGAGAGATTTGTATAGTTAGGCTTTAGTCAAAAACCCTTGAGTGAGGAAGAAATACATGCATTCAGTGGCCACATTATAAATAACACCTGTACACCTGCTTGTTAACCCTTTCAGGGTTGGTGCCGTACTAGTACAGCTTGCACGCCAGGGTTGGTGCTGTACTAGTACGCATAAATTCCAGCACCTTCAAATCTAGCGAGAGAAAGCTGGTAGGCCTACATATGAAAGAATGAGTCTGCGATCAGTGTGCGCGGTATAAAAAAAAATCCTGCAGCACACAATGCATAATGAGAAAAAAAAAACTGACCATGTTTTTGGTTTAAAACAGTGACTTTGCAGTGTATTTTCATATGCTATTTATGGTTGTATTCTAGTTTTCCTGATCTCATTTTATAGAATGGAAGACATATTATGGAAATTGAGATGATTTTGATTGGTTTCACAATGAAAAGTACCTTGAAATTGAGCTCAAAGTAGCAGAAATGTTCGATTTTTGCCAAAGTTCAAAGGTACACAAATCATGCTACGCGTCCAATACACGTCGACTGGTGAGTGTAATATTCTTTCACAAGTGCCCTGATATTATTTATACCATTTCTATGCCACCTCTACACGAATGCAGTAGTCTGCATAACATAAATCTTCTATTTTTTGTGAGAATAAAAATTCAAAGTAGAAAGCAAAAGAAATGTAACAGAGGTCTGGGGACATGAGTAATGAACAGAGGAAATTTTATTTTAGTGCCAGAAATGTCTGTCTTGTTTATTCTAGACCCTATTTGGAAAATGACATTTTTTGAAATTGTGAAATTGGAAAATTGCCAATTTCTGACCACGTTATTGGATAGTGGAAATCAGCAAATGTGTCGTTTCTTGTACTCATTTGATAGAAAAAATGGAGTTCTAGCGAAGTAGGTATGTTTTTTGTCGGCTGGTGCATTGGAATTGGCCTAAAATAGGGCTCAAAGTGGGCGAAATCGCCGATATGCAAACATCGTCGAGACCGCTAACTACGGGAGAGCATAACTCCATAAGTTTCCCATCAAATTTCATACTTTTGGTGTCATTATGATCAGGATAAGATTCTCTATCATTTCATAAGAAAAAAATAATTTTTTTTTCGAAAAATGTCCGACCCTGAGAACAAGTTTAGGAGAGGCCTTGCCAACCCTGGAAGGGTTAATGATAATATCTAATAAGCCAAATATGTGGCAGCCCCTTAATGCCTTCGGACATGTAGACATGGTCAAGAGGTTCATTTGTTTTTCAGACTGAATATCATAATGGGGAAGAAATGTGATCTAAGTGACTCTGACTGCGGAATGACTGCTGGTGCCAGGGTGGTCTAGTGGGTGAAAATGCCTTATTAATGAGAGAGGTTAGAGGAGAATGGCCAGACTAGTTCAAGGAGACAGTAACTCAAATAACAACACACTACAACAGTGGAATGCAGAAGAGCGTCTCAGATGCACAACACATCAAACATTGATGTGGATGGGAAACAACAGCACACCACTACACTGGGTTCCACTCCTGACAGCTGGACAAATGAAGATGGCATGGTCAGAATTAGGATAAACCTTTGGGATGTGTTGAAACAGAAGATTCACAGCATGAGTGTGTGGCTGACAAACCTGCAGCAACTGTGTGATGCTCATATCACATCATCTTCTTGAAAATA